TATTCCAGTCAATAGGGTAGAGTGGACAGAGAGTGGACGATGACTCTCCTCCCTGTCAGTAGTCCCTGAAGCTGCATGGAACAGGCCAGCCATTGGCTGTCACTTAGTCACGTGGCAGCGTCCAGCTATGAGGGAGGCCGAGTATTCCTTAGGCAGCCCGGTGCCCCTGTGCGTCGTGGGGTTCTAAGACTAAAGAAAGAAGCTGTTATTGTTGTTATGTACCATCAAGTCAGAACCAGCCATCCAGCAGGTTTTTAGAGACGATAAATTGTATGGGAGGAAATTGTCCATCTTTCTCTTGTGGAGCAGTTGATAGATTTGAACTGTGTGCCTTTGGGTTGGCGGTGCAGGTCCTTACCAGTAGGCCACAGAGCTCCAGTTAATGAAAAGAAAAAGAGCATGGCTATTCATGGTGGCCAGGAGACTGTGCTACAGGCATGGACGGACCTAAGACTGTGACGTGCAGCCCAGATGCCATGACCTGCCTCACATTAGTAGCCCAGGTGGCACCCTGGTTGAGTGTTTGGCTGCTGTAAGAGTGAGAATTTGAACCCTCTGGTTGTTCCTTGGAAGGAAGCTGTGTGAGTCTCTTCTGTAAAGATCACAGTTTTGGAAGCCATTTGGGGCTGTTCTACTCAGGCCCGTCAGGATTGCCGTCAGAATTGAGTCGATGGTTATGGGTTTGATGTTCGCCATTGAATGGTCTTGTCACTGAGCAAGTACTAATGGTGTAGATCTTGACCTTGGCCCTGGGATACAGCAGTCAATGTTAACAGACTCTTTTTTCAAGTCTGTCTCATACAGAAGGGCTGGATGGATTGATGCTCACCAAGGTGCAGTGGTGCTCCTGGGGTGTTTAGGGTGGGCCAGAGTGGGGCACAATTGGGGCGCAAGGCACAGGGGACAGAGAGGCCAGCAGCGGAGGGACAGCAGCTGTTGCTCACTGGGTGGTGATATCTGCAGTGGGAAGGTGACGGGGTGCCTGTGGAGAAGTGGGGGACACCAGCCAGTGAGCGATGAGAGCTCCCTGTGGGGACCTGGGAGTGCTCCACACACTGACCCCAGCCAGATTGTTTGCTGCTGTCCTGGTGTTCCCCTGCCCACACCCGTCCCCTCCCTCTCTGCTCTCTGAACTTTCCTCGCCTGTGCACCAGTTTACATCATGCTGTCCCCATCCCCCAGCCTGCCCTTCCCACCATTGTCTTCCAGCCTTGGTCCTCCTCCACCTCTAAGAGTTTAGGGGTGTCACTCCAGGGCACCCCATTTCTCAGCTGCTGCAAAATTCTTGATCCAGTCCACCAGTCTTACAAGGGGTGGGTGCCCTTGTCTTACAAATGGGTGAATTAATGCTCAGAGAGTGTTAGTGATTTTCCCCAGATCTCATCACTAGAAAGAGGGTGCAGGTGGCAGGGGTCCCCATAAAGGACTTCTGAGAACTGTCCCCTAAATTGTCCCCCTGCAGCCAAGTCAATTGACCAGACTCAGACAGTTACAGAATTACAAAATAATAACAGGGGATTTCATGCCATTTAAAAACATGTTAAATATGTTTTACCTTGTTTCATAGTTTAGAAATTGTTTGGGTTTTTAAAAATTTATAGTATAAAGAAAATAAATTCACAGTACAGTGATAGTCTTACCATACAGAAATAATCATGGCTGAGCATAATTTCAGTTTTTAAAGAAAAGTTAGTATTTTTCTTTAAAAGTAGTGGGATAAATTATGTACACTAAATTGAAACAGATGAGAGAGAAAACTGTTTAGTAAAAGGGCTGTATGATTAGGTATTATTGTCATGACATGAGTCCAGAATGAAGGCTGCATAATGGAGTGGACTTGGGAGGAGGAATTGTATAACAGTGAAAGAATTTTTCTTTACTTTTCAAAGAGAAGAACGAACTAGAGGGGAGGGTTGGGCACAGAGAAAAGTACAACAGTGAATGAATGGAAAGCCAAAATCTCTGTAAGTGTTCATTAAAATTAATAAAAAAAGAAAAAGTACTGGTATAAAATGAATGTACTTTCTCATAGTTATTTAATATTTTATATTGAAATGACCAAATGCTCACCCGCAGGCCTGTCTTTAGGTCCTCCATGCCAAATTCTTTCCTTTGAATCATCTCTTTATTAGATAGATTTCATTTTTCTAGAAGGGCCCATGTTTCGAGGAGGAAAATGCTTTTGAACTTGGCTGGGATCTGTGCCCTGATGTCCTTGGGCTGCTCCCTTCTGTAGAGGTGGCGTCATTGTCTTCTGATGCTGAATGTCGCTGCAGGTCCCTCCTCACATCCTCCCTGCTCTGTCTGTGATTGGCTATTTTTATGTCAGTCATGTGACTGGGCCTGGCTTGCTGTTTGACTCCTCCCGGGACCCTGGGTTGCATCTCTAGATTGTTGAGGGGTCAGAGGTAGAGTTCTCACCTTCCAAAATAACCAAGTGTCTCTCTGGAGACTAAGGTGCGCCTGATACAGGCCATGGTATTTGCAATCGCTTGTTATGCATCAGAGTTGGACAATGACTAGGGAGGACAGAAGGAGAGTGGATGCTTTTGAGCTGTGGTGCTGGAGAAGAGTACTGAATGTACCATGGACTGCCAGGAAAACAAACAGATTCATCTTGGAGAGGATTAAACCAAGCTACTCCTTGGAGGCAAGGATTCTGGGGCTTCGTCTGACATACTTTGGACATGTTGCCAGGAGGGACGGGTCCTTGGAGAGGGACATCATGCTTGGGAGGGTGGAGGGACGGCGCAGGAGGTGAAGACCCTCTATGAGATGGATTGATTCAGTGACTGGGGTAATCGGGATGGGTGTGTCAGAGGCAGTGCGGTTAGCGCAGCGTAGAGCAGGGTTTAGGGCTGTTGTGCATAGGGTCGCTATGAGTCGGAAACGACTCGACGGCACATAACAACAACAACTACCTTGGAAGAGGTGCAGGTTGAATGCTCCTTAGAAGCAAGGATGGTAGCTACCGTGTTGTCTTCCACACTTCAGACCTGCTGTCAGGAGGGGCCGGTCTTGGAGAAGGACATCGTGTTTGGTAGAGAGGAGGGTCAGTGACAAAGTAGAAGGTCCTTAAGGAGATGAATTGGCTCAGTGGCTGCCCCCATGACTGAAGCATGACGGAGGTCATTAGCGTGGCAGAGGACCCAGCAGTGTTTCATTCTGTTGTCCACGGCATCGCTAGCAGTCATAGTTAACTTCTCAGCACCCAACACCCACAGCGTGTGAGAGCCTGGGCTCCGTACTTGGCCGTGTACTTCGTATGCAGCCACCCCTGTATGTCAGAGGAGGCTGGCGCGTTCCTCTCTCACTGCATATGTTTCACTGGTGCTTCCAGACGAACATGAGCTAGGAGAGGGGCCTGCTGATCTGCTTTTGAAAATCCACCCGAGGGAACCCGACAGGTCCCTGTGGTCTGATCCTTGGGCATAGGGTGGCTGTGGGTCGAGGCCTACTCACTGGCAACCTCAACGTCAGCCGCAGCAGTGCCCTGGGGCCCGGCTGAGACGCAGAGGTCGAGCAGGCTCCATTCTACACCTGTCAGCCTTCACTGGCCTCACCACCCAGAGCTTCGTGGGGTGCTCTGTGATTGTTTATCAAGTTAATTTTGAATTACACAAACATGAGACACGGGGGTGACGGGGTGGGTTAATCAAAGGGTCATACAATCTGATGGCTGGAGGGAAGGGAGGGTAAAGGAAATGGGAAAGATTGGTGTGAAAAACAATGTACATGAACTTTGAAAGTAAACCAATACAAAATAAAAATTCTATTTATTTCTTTTTCCCCTGTGTGTCACATATTCTTTTTTACATTTTTTTATTAATTTAAATGAAAGTTTACAGAGACTTAGGGTTTCTTTAAAAATCTGTTTTGTCCCCAAACCTGGCTTCTTTTGCTTCCTGGGGTTGTATACTACCATGGGTTTAAGGCATGGCCTTTCAGACCTTTTACAAGTGCTTTGTTATTGTAATAAAATGATATTCTGTCCCATCACCCCGCAGTGCCCTGTGCTTGCTGCGTAGATTGTTCTGGGAGGCCAGGCATGTGGATTCATAGCTGATCCTACAGTGACTGCTTTCCTAATTAACAGGCCAGCAGAGACCAGCAACGTTAGCATGTGGAAGCAGTGAGCTTTCTGGAGTAAAATCGTGCGGCTATTAGAACACATGCCAGGTGTAATAGGTAGCATACTTATTTGTTAAAGGAATGGTTGTAGCTTAGAGATGGCCCACAGATCAGAAAAAAAGGCCTGACAATCCATTTCTGAAGTCAGTCACCATAAACCCAAAGGAGCACAATTCTACTCCCATACCTATAGGGTCTTCATGAGGTGGAAAGACTGTGCTAGGTTCTCTCTCTCTTCTCTCCTCCCTCCTCCCTCCTCTTCTCTTCTCCTCTCTCCTCCTCTCCTCTCTCTCCTCTCCTCTATTCCTCTTCTTCTTCTTCCTCTTCCCCTTCCCCTTCCCCTTCCCCTTCTCTCTCCCTCCCTCCCTCCCTCTCTCTCTCTCCCCCCCCCCTTTGCTGCTGTGTACCGTCAAATCGGATCTGACTGGTACAGGAGGAGATTTCCCCTCCTTCTCCAGCAGAGCATCTGGTGGATTCGAACCACATGCCTTCGGGATTGCAGTGCAGCTTCTTGCCACTAGGTCACCAGAGCTCCCTGTTTTGTGTGTCTTTTATAAAAATTCCACTGAATGTATCATAAGACAGCTTTTTTTTCCCCTGCCAAATGTGTATTCTGTCTGTGTTAACGTGCGCTCTTTGTTCTAGATTCAATAAACGTAGGCTTGGTGTTCTTAAGCCAACACATGCTGGTGTGTGTACAACTGGAGCATTTTGTCAGTGAACAGAATGTAAGAAGGTGCCTGTGGGACTCGAGCTAAGATTATGAGGTTCTAGAAGGTTCCTTGCTGGGTTCTGGAGCCGTCGGGTGTGGTGGTCCATGGGAAGGCCTGCTCTCGCCCCCGTTTAGTGTCTCCCTTTGGTTCTTCTAGATGACATGGCCGAGCTCCTCCTCGGGGAGGCGAAGCTGGAGCAGTACCTGAAGGAGCACCCTCTGCGCCAGGGGACCAGTCCCCGAGGCCCCAGGCCCCAGCTGACCGAAGTCCGAAAGCATCTGACCGCTGCCCTCGACCGAGGGAACCTCAAGGTACTGTGGGCCTCTGGGGAGCCTGGGGAGATGGGCACCCCTTTCTTTGCCAGTGTGCGGGCACCATCTGTCTTCACAGTAAAGGGTGCCCGTCGGCCAGCCGGGCCACCTCAGGCATCTACACTGTCGCAGCGCGTTAGAAGCAGGCCAGCTCTTGGAGTGACCCCGGTGTGGAGGAGAGGGGGCTTCAGGTGTCCAAGGGCTTCCCTGATGAGCATCTCCAGTGACACGTTGTCCTGAAAAAGGGCACTGATCTTTCCCAGGTGCTTCAGGCATACAGCTCGGGGTTCACCGTGACACGTTCCCTGCACTCAGGAGATGTGGCACCCGCCTGAAGGGTAGCTCAGGCTAGGGGCGGTGTGGGGTGTACACACACTGAGGGGGAGCCCACGGTGTTCACACCGGGCAAGGCTCTCCTGGCCCTGGGTGCAGGGACATCTGGTGGGTACTCATGTGGGTGGGGGGGTGTTGATACTGAGTATGGGGGGACCTGGGCAGGTGTCCATACTGCTGAAGGGAGTCCTGGCACCAGCTCGGTGGGTGTTCATACTGATGAGGGGTGTCCTGGCGCTGAGTGCAGGGGGAACCTAGGTGGTTGCTGGGAGACCCACATGAGTGCTCATACCAGGTATGGGGGTATCGGGTGAGAATACTGAGTATGGGAGGACCTGGGTGGGTGCTGACACTGATGGTGGGGGTACCTTGATGGGGACCGACCTGGGCCCATGTATGGGGGACCTGATGGTGAATTTCCCTTTGCCTGAACATTAACCGTAACCCCCACCACCCAGGAAGCCGCCTGCGCTGTCCTTCCATCTGTCCAGCCTGTTTTCCAGTCCCTTGCACTCAGCTCTCCCTGGCCCTCGCATCTCTCCTCCCTTGCTGCGTGGACTCTCCTGGAGACAGCACCTCCTGTCTGCGCTGCCCTCTCCCGCCCCAATACCGCCTGCTTACGTGACTCTGGACACTTCTGCCTCAGGGAGTCACTCTTCAGAGAGCTGAGGGCATCCCAGTCCCTTCCTGCCCATCTTCCCAGGGTCACCCTTCACCCCAGTGTGCTCCCAACAAACCATGGACAGTCTTTGGTGAGCCTTTTTAGAAAAGGGAAAAAACCCCACAACCCTAGTGTGGTAAAATACTCGTAAGGAACCCTTGCTGCTCTAACCATCCTCTGATCTGCTTTTGACACACTCACTTCTTTTCCCTTTAACCTTGATTTCTCACTCTGTCTCCACATCCCGTGAGCTCTTTGTGGTCACCCTACTGTCTGTGCACGTTCCCCCAGAAAGGCCATGTTTTCTGGGGCTTTTCCTCTCATTTCTCTGTTGGAAACACCTAGTTTTCAGAGTGACCCTGGGGAGGTCATGTCCCTGTTAGGGACTTAGTTTCTGTAGGGGTGGGGTGGGCTGTTCGAGGGGCCCGCCTAGACCTCCGCAGCAACCATGTTTCATTCAGCTTTTCTTTGGAGACGTTCTTCCTCATCATCTGTCTTCTTCCCTGACCTTGTCTCACTGGGGACTTGGGCCCCTGACTTTGTCTCACCTAAGGGTCTTGGGTCTCTGACCTTGTCTCACTGGTGGGGGGGGTCTTGGATCCCTGACCTTGTCTCACTGGTGGGGGGGGGTCTTGGGTCTCTGACCTTGTCTCACGGGGGTCTTGGGCCCCTGACTATGTCTCAGTGGGGCCTTGGGCCCCTGACTATGTCTCAGTGGGGCCTTGGGTCTCTGACCTTGTCTCACCTGGGCGTCTTGGGTGTCTGATCTTGTCTTACTGGGGACTTGGGTGTCTGACCTTGTCTCACTGGGCTCTTGGGCCCCTGACAGTGTCTCAGTGGGGGCTTGGGTCCCTGACCTTGTCTCACTGGGGTCTTGGGTCTCTGACCTTTTCTCACTGGGGACTTGGGTGTCTGACCTGGTCTCACTGGAGGTCTTGGGCCCCTGACCGTTTCTCAGTGGGGGCTTGGGTCCCAGAACTTGTCTCACTGGGGTCTTGGGCCCCTGACCTTTAATCACCTGGGAGCTTGGGTAACATTTGAATAAGCTGGTATTAGTGTCTGTGATGGCGACTCCGTGTGTCATGAAATAGAATGGCATAGGGTTCCTGGCTGTAAGCTCAGCAGAAATGGGCTCCGGGCCTTTTTGTGATGCTGTTTGGTGGGTTCAAGCCACTCACCTTGAGGTCAGTAGTCCAGACAAGCTGTTCACGCCATCCAGAGACCTTGGGCCACCCTGAGTTAGAGTCAGCCTGATGGTCGCAGTTTTGGGTTTTGACTTTTGGTCCTTTTGTCTAGTGTCTGACAGTAAACCACGACTGTCGAGTCTCTTCTGATGCACGCCGACCCTCTGAGGCCTCCTGAGGCTGTGAACTTTTATGGAAGGACACGGCTTATCTGTCTCTTGTGGAGCTGCCGGTGAACTCGAACTATCAACCTACTGGTTAGCAACCGAGCTCCTAGCCCACCAGCTCACCAGGGCACCCTTTATATAGCCACAGGCCTGTAGGGACCCCGACAGAGCCTCCTTTCAGAATGGGCTCCATTAGACCACAGTGCAGCCCCCTAAGGTCAGCCTTACAGTGTGCTTTGAATTGGGGTTCTGTGTTTGGGGCTTTGAAAATCAAGTCTTCTCTTTTCTTGTTCCTTTTCTTTGAAAGAACCGTGTCATACTTGTGTTCAAATTTAGTGGATGGTTGTCATCCTCCTGCTGTTGTTAATAAAGATCACTGGTGGGTCGAGATGGGCTGCAGAGAGTGTCACATGGGGTCACAGCTCCCAGTGAGGGACAAAGTCAGGGATCCTGCTGGGGACATGCAAGCGTTACCAGGAGAGGGGAGGGAGGTTGGAGATCATTGCTGTAAGCCTGGCAAGTTCCCTTCCTACCTCTGGCCTTGGTAACGTCATCTTGAAAAAGGAATCTTTTCTTCTGGTGTGGCTTAGTTTCCTTTTTCTCCCCTTTTTGTTCTCCATCCAGCATAACCCACTGCGGTAATAAGAACGCGGAACCGAAAGTCAGCAGTGTAGAATGGGAGTTCCAGTTTTGGACTTGTGAGCTGTGTGACCTTGATTTTCAAAGCCCCAAATGCAGAACCCAAATTCAAGGCAAACTATGAGGCTGACCTTGGGGGACCAGACTGTGTCCTGTGGGAAGTTACTTAACCTCTCTGAGCTTCCTGCTTCTCATCTGTGAATGCTTAACTCAGGATTGTTCTGAGTTTCCGGTGTAGAAGCTCCGTCAAAATCATACAGTACTAAATCCATGTCATTTTATTGTTGAGAATTGTTGTTGTTGTTAAGTGAGCCTGCGACTCATAGTGATCCTGTGCACAGCAGCTCTGAAGCCTGCCCTGTCCTGAGTCAATCTCACTGACTCCGACACACCTACCCCCATTGTTCCAGTTACTGTATCAATCCCTCTCATCTGGGCTCTTCCCCTCCTGTGCTGTCCCTCCACCCTTCCAAGCATCATGTCACTCTCCAAGGATTGGTCTCTCCTAAAGGATTGGTCTGTCTAAAGTAAGTGAGGCGGAGCTTCAAAATCCTAGCCTCCAAGGAGAAACTTGATTTCACCCTCTTCAAGACAGACCTATATGCTTTCTTCGCAGTCCATGGTATGTTCAAGTCTCTTCTCCAGCACTGCAACTCAAAATCATCGATTCTTTTTCTGTCATCCTTAGTCATTGTCCAGCTCTCTGATGCATAGCAAGTAATTGCAGAGATAATGACCTGGATCAGACGTACCTTAATCTCTAGAATGACATAATTTGTTGCTTTTCAGCACTCTGGAGATTTCCCTGACTGCAGATTTACCGAATGCAATTTGTCTTTTGATTTCATGACTGCTGATGCCAAGAGTGTTGATTGTGGAACTGAGCAAGCTGTAACTGTTAACAACCTCAATCTCTTCTCCATCTGTTGTGGTGCTACCAGTTGGCCCAGTGGTGAGAATCTTTGTCTTCTTGATGCTGAACTTCAATTCATATTGAAGTCTATAATCCTTGACTTTCTGCAGCAAACTCTTCAGGTCCACCTCAGTTTCAGCAAGCAAGGTTGTGTCATCTGCATAACGTAGGTTGTTGACTGGAGTCTTCCTCCAATCCTCTTCATAAAGTCCAACTTCCTGAATGATCTGTTCTGCATATAGATTGAAAAGGTATGGAGACAGGACATATCCCTTACACATCCCCTTCCTGATTTTGAACCATGCAGTGTTTCCCTGTTCTTTTCTGAGGACTGCTTCATGGTCCAAGTATAGGTTTTACATAAGCACAATCAAGTATTCTGGGATCCCCATTCTCCTCAAGATTAACCACAATTTGTTGTGCTTCACACAGTCAAAAGCCTTTGCATAGTCAGTGAAACACAGACAGACGTTCTTCTGGTACTCTCTGCTTTCTGCCAAGATCCATCTGACCTTGGCAGTAATGTCTCTAGTGCCACAGCCTCTTCTAAACCCAGCTTGTATTTCTGGTAGTTCCCTGTCAATATACTGTTCCAGTTGTTTTTTGATAATTTTTCAGCAGGCTTTTGCTTGTACGTGATATTAGTGATATTGTTAGATAATTTCCACACTCTGTTGGGTCACTTTTTTTTTTTTTTAAATCGGAATAAATATAGATCTCTTCCAGTCAGTTGGTCAGGTGGTTGTCCTCCAGATTTTTTGTCACAACTTGATGAGCACATCCAGGGCAGCATCTGTTTGTTGAAATATGTCAATTGGCTTTATTTTTTGCCAATTCCCTTAGAGCAGCCTGAACTTCCTCCTCCATTGCCATTGCCTCGTGATCATATGTTGATTATTGAAATTCATCTGTGTCAGCCAATTCTTTTTTGGTACAGTGACTCTGTATACTCTTTCAATTTCTTTTAGTGCTTCCTGGAACATCCAATATTCTGCCCCTAGCATCCTTAAGTATTGCATCTTGAGGCTTGAATTTGTTGTTTAGTTCCTTCAGCTTAAGAAATGCCGAGAGAGCTTGGCCTTTTTGCTTTTCAGACTCCAAAT